ACCCTAATTGGGATGTGGCACTGGCTACTACTGGAATTCTCCCTGCTCCCTGCCCCTGCTCTTACCCTGCTCCCTTCCTATTACACTTCATTTTGAGCATACCAGTAGAACATAATAAGTTTTATGAGCATGCACAGAGCAAATCTTGAACATAAGTATCCTGCCTTAAAAGCCCTGCATACATTTCGAAAAATTAGCTGTTTTGTGTGGCCCAAATGTGGCCCAACTCCTCTGCCCTGCTCCTGCTCCTGCTCTTGCTCTGGCAGTAGGATACTTTATATTATGTATGTTTTGATACACTAATATGAGATAGATATCAGTGTAGAACTGCTACTATGTACTGTCCCTCCTAAAAGTCTGAACAAAGTTCGCTTTTTGTGTGGCCCAGGTGTGGCCCACCTCCTTCCTACTCCTGCATTTTTCTGAAACAGATACACATCATCATATATACATATACTGCCTCAGAATAGTCATAACTTCGTTCCTGAACACCTTTATCAGCTTTGCTCAGATTTAGAATGACCAAAAAAGTATTTTCAGGGGTGTGGCACTAGGGGTACTTCAGTTCCCTGCCTCAAAATATATTACAGTACAGGCATACAAGTGTCAAACTTGATTTATTGGAGAGATATATATGAGAAGCCAAGACCAACACAGATATAGAGCAGTGCCAGAGCATGAACAAGCAGGACATGCTGATGTGGCCCACATTACACTATACAGAAATTCGATAAAAATCGGATTTGAATAAAGAAAGGGAGTTTAGACTCAAATATGCATGATAATAGTGTACTAATCTTACATTGGGGCATCTACAATAGTAAGAACAGAGAGAGAATCCAAGGAAAATGAAGCTGCACAACCCCTAGTATCCTCTGTGCCACAGCTGCTTCCAGCCATTAATTGCGGGAAAAATACGGAAAATGCCGGAAACACCTTCCAATTTTGGTAGGTTGAGCGTCCGGGATGCCACAGCAGGGCCACAATCGCCCAGATGTTGAGTCGATGGAAATACATTGAGCTGCAATAAAATACTGCAAAAAACAGAATTATAATTAGAATGAGAGCCCCTGAAAACCTACGAAAAGTTTGAGCAAAAAGGAGTGCTCTGAGGGTTTGAACCGAGAAGTGCCCTGCAAACCTGAGTTTGAAAGCATTTAGTGGCTTGAAATCGTCTCAACTTCTTCGGCTTCTCCTTCTTTTCAGCCACCATGTCCCTTCCTTCATCTCCTTTCCCTTTGAGAGTACTCAGAGCCGAACTGGAAAACCTCGCCATGGTTTCTAAGATTGTGCACTGCAGGAAATTAGGGACTGGAGCTCTCAAGGTTCTGGGCTGGCTGTTGAGGTGTAGCTGTGGCCTTCAGCCCAGCACCCTTGCCTTTTCTTCACTCTTCACTCCTCTCTCTCACTCTCAGTACTTCAGCAACATCCTCAAGCATATTCCTCAAGTATATCTTCGAGTTTTTGAAGCTTGAACAGCTTCAGAATTGGCTAGAATGTTCAGGTAAGCCTATGTGCCTGAAAACCAACATGCCCTCCTCCCCCTTTTCCTACACTTCTCCTCCTCTCTCTACCTACCCAAATCATATCTAACATCTCTTTCCCACTCATCAACTATATTCCTAGGAAGTTTGGGCCAGTTTGGTCCAGTGATTGAGTCTGGGTGGCAATATGGTCTGTGGCCCAGCCTATCCCCATATATTTTCGCTTTTTTACCTTTTCTGGAGATGATGTAGAGATTTCTGGTGGATTGGGCAGGACTATTAAGGTGAGTATTTATGTTTCTAACACAATTTTCGCTTCTGAGAGACCTAGAGCTTGTGCTATAGGTTCATCTTGGTGCCACATCACCCCCACCCTTCCCCACCCTCTCCTCATCCACCCAGCCCTTCTACTACCCCAAACAACCTCTGTACCAACCTCTCCATACACCCTCTACCCACTCTACCTGTCCCCATCCATTTCTCTCCACTGGTTCCTCCAAATCAGCCCACTGCCCTGCCACCTCATCAAGCCCAACACCCAGCCCAGCTCTTCCTAGGCCTCTGGCTCGGGTTTTTTGTGTCTGGGAGGTATCTATGGACATGTTAGAGTTTGGCCATGGTAAAATTTCGCCTATTTATCCATCCTTTCTGTTTCTATGGCCACCCTCCCCTCCTACCCCCTCCTGCCTCCTCCTACCCCTCTAGAACAGCAGGAACCTTTGATCCTGCTCCCTTTTCTGCTCTAACTTGTATCTATCATGTTCCTCTACATGCACAATCTCTGTCTGCCTATGTAGCTGTCCTGTATAATTCCCCAGAGCATGTAGTATGTAATTAGGGGGAAAATGCGAAATATATTCATGTTTCATTTATTTCTTTGGATTTCCTGGTGTGATCAGAGCCTGTGTGAATAAGATACATCTATATGAGGCTACAACAGCTACATATCTG